ACTTAATGGTATACCTGGGTAGGAGCTGCAGCTGGAGAGGGTGGCTGAGGGCACTGGACAGCGCAACACCAGCCTCAGTATCTGGGAGGCCCCTCAGAATGAGCCAGGGCTGCGCCAGGTGTGGGTGGAGAGCTGCACTCAGGCCCTGGGGATTGGGGAGCTGGGGCAATGGCACAGCAACCTGGGAGTGAGGCCTGGAGCCTGGGGCTGGCAAGGAGCAGCTGATGGTGACTCACGCTGACACAGTCTGTTACCAGGACACCACTGTTCCCGAGAGGCATGTGTGGGTAAAGGGGACATCAGGCTGACAGAAGCTGGCCAGCCCCAGGGCTCTGGACAGGCATTTTCCACCTGCACTCCTTGGAGATGGTCACAATCATGGGACTTTCCGGACCTTCCCAACACTGTCCCAACAGAAGGCTCCCTGTTTCGTGGAGTCTCCTAGGTGTGGGGTTTGTTGGCCCCAAATAAATGGAACAACAACTGGGACCATTTAATGAGTGCTCACTGCAAGCCAGTCATAGTGCTGAACTTCTGTAAACTAGTGGCCACCCCATGGAGCCCCAGGTGTGGATGTGAGAACGAGACCTTAGAGGAGAAAAGCAGCCTGCGGAGGCCCTGGAGCTGGTTGCAGAGCAGCATTTCCCAGCAAGCCAGGTTCCCCAGAGTGAGCCGGGATTCTGGAAGTGTTTAGCATGTTGGACTGTGTCCTGAGTGGTGTTCCCAAGCTTTCTTCGGTCCTGTTTCTTTGCTTTTGTTTGAATGTGTAGGTGATGTGAGTGTCCATTTTGATACACACACACACACGTCATATATGTATGTATATTATTTTCCTTGTTTTACCTCCTGTTTTGGGGAGAAAACAGATACACCTGACATTTTGATTTCTGAGTAAATTTGGGTTGTAAGGGAGTAGGAGGACAAGAGAAGGATCGCTGGCTCCCTGAATGACCTATGACCTGCATCACTGCCATAAAATGTAATGTGAATATTGCTGATTTAAATAATAAGAGTAGCCAAGTGCTGCAGTGCATGATGACCATGATTCCAACTAACTTGGGAGGCTGAGGCAGGAGGATTGCAGGATGATTGAGTGCAGGCTAGGCAAATTAGCAAGAGTTTGTCTCAAAATGAGGAATGAAAAGTGCTGGGGATGCAGCTCAGTGGTAGAGCACCCCTGAGTTTGACCACTGTACTTGGGGTGGGGGAAACAGCTGTGCATTAAGTACCCGTCATGTGCCATGTGCTGGGTAATTTAGCTCTGTGATGTGATGTGCTCTTTTTAGGAGGGTGAGGCCCTGAGGCCAATAGAGATAACTGTCCGTGGGGAATACTTGACCAGGGGCTTCTTTCTGTTAATCAGCACCACTCTTTGAAGAGAGCCAAGGCGGTGTTTTCCTTTCTTTTTTAGGGCTGGGGAGTGAGCTCAGCCTCATGCATGTTAGGCAAGTGCTACACCCCCGGTCCTCGTCTTTTCCTAATCAGAAGATTTTTGACTGCTGCTCCTGAGTTACTCTTACCCCCTTTTTCCTCTGTAATCTAGTAAAACTAATATAAACATGTGGCCAGGCGTGGTGGTGCATGTCAATCATCCAAGCAGTCTGTGAGGCCAAGGCCAGAGGATTGCAAATTCTTACCCAGGTAGGTGACTTTAGTTAGTCCCTGCCTCAAAAAAAAGGCTGGGGATGTAGCTCAGTGTGAAGGGCCTGGGGTCAGTCCCCAGTACTGCAAAAATGAATTAATTTAGGGCCGGGGATTTATCTCAGTGGTTCCAGCACCTGTATGGAAAGTGCAGGGTCCCGAGTTCAATCCCTGGTACCAAAAAGAAAAAAATAAATTAATTTAAAATATATATTAATGGGCTGGGGATTTAGCTCAGTGGTGCTGTTGCCTGCCTCATAAGCTCAAGGTCCTGAGTTTGATCCCTGGTACCCCCCCCCCAATATATATATATACACACATATATTAAAAAAGATATATAGCTATATAAAGAGAGTTCAGAAGGATCTTCTGACCAGTATTTATAGGCCACTTCCCATTTAAAGAAACAGTTTAAAGCCTTATAAGTAGATACATAGGTTATAAGAAAAGATTTATAGCATCCAGTAGGAAGAGTTAAAGTACCTTTCCCAGCTCCTGCTCTGGTCTTACCTGGAGCTGCCTCTCCTTCTCCATGCTTCAGTGTGTTGTTGCACACTGTGTGGGTGTGTATGATGTTACATGTAAACACAAAGCATTTTCTTCATGAACAGACTGGTTTCCGTTGTACATTGAATTTAGATCTTGTTGAGATTAGCCTGATTCTTTTTGATGTTCCGTTAGATCTCATTACGCTCTACTACAGTAACTGATTAGCTGTTTCTGTTGTTGCGTTAGACTGACAGTTTCTGTACTGCACCTGCCTCGTTGTGCACATATGGCTGTATTTTGAAGTATAGACCCTTAAAGGAGAATTGCTACACTCTCCCAAACTCCTTTCTTAGTTTTTCTTTTCTGTGGTGCTGGAGATCGCCACATTTCTTTCTTGGTGGTGGAGTAGAATCACAAAGTGCTGACCTCTGTAGTCCTCCACCTGCCCTAGGCCATGTCTGAGCTGCACCCAGCCCTGCACTGCCTTCCAGAGCCCACATGAAGTCTCGGGTGTGAGCTGAGACCCAGCCATCTGGTGCCTGCCTGAGCCTGTGGAGAAGACCACTCCTCCCAGCCACACTAGTGGACAGGTCCCTGGGGGTGCGGTCTCTGTCCCTCTGAACCTCTCCCATCCACCTGTGAGGCCCTGGTCCTGCCAAGTGAGTTTCCCACCTCAGCCTCCAGATCTGCATGGCTGGCCACTACTTCTGCTAAGGCTTTGCTCATGTGCTACCTTCTCTCATCAAGCACCCAACAGAAACAGCAGCACCTGCCTCAGTTCCTCTGTCACATTTACCGCTCCTGCTGTCTGTAGAGGACCTCTCAGCGTTGGTGTCTGTATTTGCTTAAGGCCTCTCCATCCTCGCTCCCCCCATAGCATGTATGTTAGCTCAGCAGCAGTGAATGCGCTTTCTTCACGCTTAGGCCTGGTGCCTGGATTAGAGCAGATGTGCAGGAAATGTTTGGTGTAAGAAGTGTTAGGATGAATAATGCCTACATAAGTGCTGTACTCTTATTGATCATTTACTGTTTGCCTGGAGGTAAGAGCAATGTGGGAGGTAGAGGAGAAAGAAAGTTACAGTGAGCAGAAAAAAAGATGTGGGGCTGGGTACAGTTCAGTGGTGTAGGGCTGGCCTCACAAGCACCAGGCCCTGGGTTTGATCCTGGCACCAAAATGAGAGAAAGAAAGAGAGAGACAGGTGGAAGTGATGGCAGGAGAGAGAAAGATGATGAGCAGGGGTGCAGGGGTGCAGTTGGTGGACACAGGGCACTTGTCTAGGGCCACTACAGCTGCTTGGATGAGGGACACTAAAACGCATCTGACCCTGAAAAAGTTAGAGCCTTGCTAGTGTGAGTTTAATGAGAATACTTGTTTTTATTATTTATTTATTTAAAATAATAAATAAATTTATTTTTTGAGACAGGGTCTCATTATGGAGTTCAGGCTGGCCTTGAGCTCCCTGTGTAGCCCAGGCTGGCCTCAACTCCCTGGTGATCCCCACCTCAGCCTCTGGAGTGCTGGGATCACAGGCATGTGCCACCACACCCTGGGTCTAAGGAGAATACTTGTAACATCCTATTGCAGTCCTTTGGCAGAGGAGAGGAGATAATGTGACAAATGACATCTGCTAGTATGGGAACATTGTAGCTAGCAAGTGGGCAGTTTAAATTTCTTGAAGAGGAGATAAAAGACCTTATCAGGAGTTTGAGGAGAGCTGTGAAGGATTTAACACAGTGTTTCGACCTTGGCCACAATTGCAACTTTGCTTCTTACCCACAGTAGGCAATTTTAAATGATTACAGAGTTCATGTAATGTTGCTGTTAGTATCAAATAATTTGTTACATCTGTATTAAGAAAATTTGGTAGTGTGCCTTGCCTTGAGAATGTTAGAGGAGAAAAGAACTAAACAAAGTAAAGCAACCTGTGATGACAGCAACTTCTGCTACAAGGACAGCAGGAACAGTGTGGCCAGTGTCCCTGACAGAAGGAGAGTTGTTTCTGCAGGTGGACAGACAGCACCAAGACCACCTCCCAAAGGGACAGAAACAGGTTCCTTTTTTCACAGTCCTGTCCATTTTGAGAGAGTACTAAAGAATTTTGTCTGTTTAGGATTAAGCACATTTTAGGAGGAAGTAAGGTCCTAAGGTTGTTGCTTAGCCATGCCCTTCTTGTGGAGAGCTACACTCCCCTTCCTCTGTCTAGGCGTGTGCTCATCTCCCTCCTGTTAACTTTATTAGGGTGCTGGTGCTGTGTGTAACCAAGTCTCTCAACTATAAAATGGGGACTCACTGTGCAATGGACAGGTTTATTGTAATGTTCACAGAAATGTCATCTTTAAAAGCAAAACATTTATTGGTACATTTTAGATATACATAATGATAACATTCATCATTGGGGATTTATTTGTACCTGTACATGATACATCTTGCTGCTTCTTTTTTCCCATTCTCCTCCCTTCAAGCCCGCCTCCTCTCCTTATACACAAAACTTTGTTTCTGTTTTTTCCTTCTATTTCCTCTTTTTTTTATTGTCCCTTCTTTCCTTTCCTCTTCCCCCCTCCCTTGTTCTCCTTTTCATTTGGACAATTATTTTAAAAAGGGTTTAACAGTGACAGGCACAGAGTAGACACTAAGAAAATATTATTTTCTGTCCTCCTAATAATAAACCTGTTTACATTTTTTCTTTCTGAGATAGCTTTGAGAAGTGGCTTTGAAATTAAAAAACATGTTTGGCCTTTGGCACAAGGTCTTGGGTTAGTTCATAAAACTTGGGAGTTGGGGAGGAACCATTTTCACACTCAGATGGGAGCCCAGAAAGGCCCCTGCAGGGCTGTGCCACTGGTGTCACTGGTTGCCCTTTCTCTTGCAGATGAGCACACCCTCCACTCCCCACTGACTGGCTGCCATGGCGTTCACAGGAAGACTCAACAGCAGCGGCAGCAGCGGTGGCGGCAGGTAAGTGTGGGGTACATGATTCAGTTCAAAGATATGGTGATGCTGAAGTTCAGAATCAGCTTCACAAAGTATAAGTTTAGTCTATTCCGTCTTTGCAACTTCAGAACTGTGAGGTGCAGACTTCTCTTCCTTGAGTCAAGCCTGTTAGCCTGGCTGTGTGTGTGTGATTGAGATGGTGCTGGAGATGGAATGCAGATCTCTAGAATGCTAGGCAAGTGCTCTAATGACTGAGCTACATCCCTCAGTCCAAAAGAACTCTTAAAGCTGGGTGGTGGTGCACATCTATCATCTCGGCACTTGGGAGACTGAGGCAGGAGGATTGCTGTGAGTTGGAGGCCAGAGAGTAAGAGTCCAATCTGGGCTGTGTAGAAAATTCAAAGCCAGCTTGGACTGCATATCCTGTTTTATTCATTTATTTATTTATTTTTTACCAGGGATCGAACTCAGGACCTTGTACTTGCCAGGGAGATGCAGTACCACTGAGCTACATCCCTGGGCCTTACATAGCCTGTTTTTTTTTTTTTTTTTTTGTTTTTTTTTTTTTTTGGTACCCGGGATCGAACTCAGGTCCTTGCGCTTGCACAGCAGGTGGCGAAACCGCGCAAAATCCCCGGCTATAGCCTGTTTTAAAAAAAAAGGCACCAAAAGAATTAATATCAGGGCTGAGGATTTAGCTCAGTGTCGCCACTCCTGTCTGGCAAGTACAAGGTCCTGAGTTTGATGATCCCCAGTACTGGAAAAAAAAAAGAAAAAAGACAAAAAAAGAATTAGTATCATTGGTCAGTTTTTTTGGGGGTGGGGACAGGATCTTCCTATGTAGTTTAGGCTGACCTTGACCTTGCTATATAGCCCAGGCTGGCCTCAAGCAGGCCTGAGCCATTTGAGATATTAGCATTTCAAAAGCATTGAGGTACAAAAAAACCGGAGGCTCAAGCTTAACTAGTGTTTTGGTTTGTTTTGTTTTTATTTTATTTTTTGGTACCCGGGATTGAACTCAGGTCCTTGTGCTTCCACAGCAGGTGGCGAAACCACTGAGCTAAATCCCTGGCCCTTTATTTTATTTTTAAGAGATGAAGATTTCACAATGTTGCCCATGCTGGCCTTGAACTCCTGGACTTAAGCCATCCTCCTGCCTCGCCTTCCAAATAGTTGAGGAGTACAGACAGGTGCCACTGCACCTGGCATCAACTAGTATTTGTGGACGGTGGGTGGTGCCCGTGAGATCCCAGATACTTTCCTATGTTGTTCCCTTTCTGGTGCCTGTAGGGAATTCTTGAGCTTCAGGTGGCCCTGGCAGGACTGCTGTCATTATGCTCAGCAGGGATCCCCCACCCCCAGGTTCAGGAGTCCATGTATCCAGAGGCTTGCGGAAACCCTGTCTCCATTTTTTTTTCTTCAATTACCCATAGCTCAGTTTTTTGTGCGGTTAAGTGTCCTTATGGATTGATTATGGATGGATGGATGCTGGTTTGGAGTGCACTTAGGAAGCTGTTTCCTACTTGGAGGTTGTGAAAATCATGACACGCTTTCTTAGCTGGCGTACATGTGATTTCATTGTATGCACTGAAATCAGAACTCATAAGTGGTTGGGCTGTGGGTGGGCTGGTCAGCATTCGGGTTTTGGCTGGCTCCTCTTGGCCTTCTGAAAGCAATCTCTGCAGTGTGTTAGTGGGACTGTCTGCACTTCTGTCTTTTGAAAATGTTGAGGTTTCACAGCACTGGGCTTGCACTGCCATGTAGCAGTGCTCAGCACGGAGTAGTCACAAGTTGCAGCGGCAGGACTCATTCCCTCCCTCTGCTGCAGGTCCCTGTGCTCCACCTGGCTCCCTCCTGCAGACACTGCTTTGTCATTTTGCGCCGAGAGACCTGATGTTAAAAACAAGCCAGGGAAAGCACTGATGCACACCAGCTCCTGACAGCTTCTGCATGGGTAGAGTGCTGTGTGCAGTGAGGTGCAAGGCACCCTGAACTCACCACCCATTTTACAGTTAGGATTTTTCAGTGTTTTTATCCACCTGCAGTAAGGTCTGAAGTACATGTAAGCTTTCATATTAATGGAAAATTAAAATATGGAAGATACCGTGGAGCCTTTTTGTTCTTAAAGCAAGAGGTTAGACAGTGTTTTCAGTATACTTTATCAAATTATCTGTCTTGTCTTCATTTACTTGGATGCTCATTCTCAGGCTATCATTGGGATTCATTTTGTTCCACCAGTTCTACCTTCTGGCATTTTTTGTTTGTTTTGGTACCGGGGCTCGAACTCAGGACCTTCTGCTTATGAGGCAGGTGCAGTGCCACTGAGCTACATCCCCGGCCCCCTTCTGCTGTGTTTTTATACAACTTCTCATTTAGGCATTGTCTTTTATTCAGGGGAGGGCAGTAGGGCTCAAACTCAGAACTCCTGATAAGTGCTATTCTATGGTGCTATATCTCTGACACTTTCTATTTTATTTTGAGACAGGATCATGCTAAGTTGCCCAGGCTGGTCTCAAACACAGTTCTTTTGCCTCAGTCTCCCAAGTAGCTGTCAGTATAGATGGGTGCTAACACACCTGGCTTCAGACAGATTCTTTACTAATACTTTCGTAATTATTCTTATCTGATTGTGTTTCCAGTAGTTACTTCTGTGGCTATTAGTCATTTTTAGAAAAATTATTGTTGGCTTGATTATGTATGTGTCTGTGTGTGGTGCTGGCACTTAGCACCAGGCCGTGTATACGCTAGGCAAGTTCATTACCACTGAGCTCTGCCCTGACCCCCACTTTTGGCGTTTTGATTTTGACCCTTTGAAGTATTTTGATTAAGAAGCAGAATAGCTGGGGATTTAGCTCAGTGGTTCCGCTGCCTGCCCCACAAGCGCAAGAACCCGTGTTCAATCCCCAGTACCCCCCCAAAAAAGATAATAAAACATACTATTAAAAAAAAGAGGCAAAATAGTATTTTGGGGTTTTATTTCTGTATGTATTCAGAGTGAACTCTACCACCGGATGAAAGTGGTTTATTTTTTTATTTTTTATATTTTTGGTACCGGGGATCGAACTCGTGACCTTGAGCTTGTGAGGCATGTGGCGGAACCACTGAGCTAAATCCCCAGCCCCGAAAGCGGTTTATTTTGATGAGGATGAATGAGCTCTTCAGATGCATGCCATGTTTCAGACTGCTTCATCTTAGAGTGGCGTTTTTATTTGTTCTGGCGTTCCCAATTCCTTATCTTTTTTCCTTATTGAAGAAGAACATGCCCTTTTGCATTTCAGTAACATTTAAAGTTTTACCCTTTTGTATAAATGGCTTGAAATTTCACATTTTTTTTCTTGGAATTTAAAAATTAGAATTACTTTTTTTTTCCAAAAGCATGTGCTGAATTACACTCTTCTGACTTGAGCCCAGGTAACTGAAGCAAGAGTAAAACTGGGACACATTCTGGGAAATGGTTACTTGGTGACTTGGGGAAAAGGTGTAATGTAAAATAAAAGAGCATTTTATTTCAGGGAGTGCAGCCAGGTTAACAGGAGGGTTGGATGTCCTCTGCCACTAAGGGTGGGGGGCTTAGCTCTTTAGAGGTCTGCTGGTGGCTTTTCACATCACGGAGGACTGGTTGGTGAGGTTTCACTCTGGCAACTCTTTCCTCAGAAGAATCTGAAACAGTGGTTAACTCTCCTAATTGAGAAGCAACTTCAATTAGTGAGGGAGCCACAAGGTGGTAAGCAGATTAACAGCTATTATATAGACAGACTTTGTGAATCAGGGTCTTCTTTCCAGACCCTTGCTGAAGGGATTAATGGCTGCAGTTTCCCTGAAGTGGCAAGTGGCACAGTGAGCTTTAAAAACACTAGAAACTCAGTAGAGGTATAATCTACGTGTGTTTTAAGTATGTAATTTAATCACTTTTAGTGAGCGCATGAACTGACATGGACTGTCACTACAATCCAGCCAGAGAACATTCTTGTCTCCCTGGCAGATGAAGCTACTTGCTCAATCAGTCCCATTCCCACCCTAGCCCTCAGGGCTTCAGGCTACTGTGTCTGTTCTGATGTTCACCTCAGCCTGTTCATAAAATGTGTGGGGCTGTGACCAGCCTCTTCTCATTGTGAGATTTTCAAGATCTATGTAACATGAACTGACGTTTCCCTCCTTTTTATAACACGCCCATTCGTGCCTGTATCACTTTTTGCTTACTGTTTACCAGCAGGTGGGCATTTCGGTTGAATCTGCTTTCTGTGATGAATCAGGCTGGACCTGTGCTTTTCTTTGGGGGATGTTTACAGAAGAGCTGAGTTGCTTGCATGGAAGGTAGATTTGTTTAGGGTGACCCTTAGATCACAGTAAGCTCATCATCAGTCTCAGTGCCCAGGCCTGTTTCAGACTCATCTGCATGTAGTTTTCTCTGCTTGCCCCGAAGCTGACAGTTGGGGACCCTGAGTTCATGTCTGTCCTGGGCTATAGGGGGACAGGCATTGCTTGGGTGGTTGGCATTGTTTCAGTTCACAGGGTGCCTCGGTCCAGGGAGTGCCATGGGTGAGACAATCTTGAGTGAATTAATTGTGCAGGATTGAGTCATCATTGTAGAGATTCTGACTTTGTACCATCTTTAGGTAGGGAGGAACCTTTTCCCCCTTTTTGGAGGCTTTACAGCCAAGACAGTCCTTTTTCTCCCAAGCTGGGGCAGTCAGCCTCCTGTGGAGTTTATGGGACAGGCTTAGGAAGAAAGGAGTTTCAGTTCTTGTTCCCTGTTTTTCAGAAGTCTGGGAGACATGATTTCAAATCTGTAGCTCCCAATGAATAGCCCTGTGAAGGAGTCAAATGAGTAGCTTAGTGCAGTTGGAGGCAAAGACCTGGAGAATCTCATTGCTAAATATGTAAATTGTACTACAGGGAATGCCAGGTGATTAGTTTAGTTGGGGAAAACTTTAAATTCAATTCTAATTAACATTAAACACATAAGAAGACACTATGCAGTTTTATTTCTGCTTTTCACCAGCAAGTCCTTCTTAGCCTGCAGT